GAAGATCGCTGGTGTTGAGCGCACACGTTTAAGAGTCATTGCAAAAACTTTGCAGCCTCAAGGATTTGGTCTTACGGTAAGGACAGTTGCAGCCGGTCATTCATTAACTGAATTGCAGAAGGATTTGGAAGGCTTGCTTTCAACTTGGAAAAGTATAATTGAGCATGCAAAGTCAGCAGCTCTTGCCGCAGATGAAGGTGTTGATGGAGCAGTTCCCGTTATGCTTCACCAGGCAATGGGTCAAACACTCTCTGTTGTTCAGGATTATTTTAGCGATCAGGTCTGCTCAATCTTGGTTCTTCCCTTCATGGATTGTTCAGTTTATTTTTTGATGGAACTTCTGGTTTGGGCTGGCCTTCCTTAAATTAGCACGAATACATGTTATGCTTTCTTATGCTGGCCTTGATGTTCAGGTGAAGAGTTTGGTGGTTGATTCTCCAAGGACATATCATGAGGTATGGACTTAGCCATTTATCAGGCAGTGGAAGTGAAAAGGTTTTTGACCAATAAACGCAATTGCATGTCTTGCTTGGTGTTTTATGTTCCTTTGAGATAGTTTGTTATATGTGAGCATGGAAGCGGTTTTGATAATTTTCATTTCCAATGCTGAGTGGTTTTTGGAAATAAGGATTTGCAAATACTGGTGGTGAATGAGATTATTTTGGATTAGTAAGACCTCAGTGAATAAACTATTTAAGAAGTAAAGCTAGATTGTTTCAGTATTTTTTCTTAGTTTTTTTTTTGTTGAAAATGTAATGAATATTTTATAAAAGAATAGCACCCAGAGTTTGCAATGGATGAGTAGTACAACAATCTGCAGTATGCATCTCAGTACATTAGCTACTTGTGAAAAGAGCTGCAGAAATTAACTTTCATTTTTATGCTAAAACGTGATCCGTGCTTTAAGTTACAACTATTTTCCTTTTTACCTTTCAAAGTATTTCTTTCCTTCCATACAGTCCACAGTACAGTCGCTGGTATAGTGTTCGGCAACTTTTTGTCGCCGTTTTTTGGTCCTCTTCTATTCCAACAATGTATCAGGTCTTGGACGATTTTGGCATGCACCATTTAGCTTGTTTCAGTATTAGCTCTCTGGTTTAATCAAGGCATTCTCTAACTTTGAAGTTTGAAGGTGACATTAGAAGAAAAAGCAAACTGTAGTCAGATATAGCAGTTTATTCAATTTATATCCGAAAGAAATGTCATGCTGACATATAAAGATAGTGAGGACAATATACATGATAGATAGACTTCAAATCAGTTGGTTTTCCTTACTCCTCTTTTTCATTAGGGTGGGGTTTAAGACAACTTCAGATCATGTTCTCATACTTAATAAATTTGGATCAATGCCTTTTATTGAAGCCTGTGGGCTAGCAATTGTTAGGGAACTGTTGAATTTTATTGTGCTCTAATATATATATATATGTATGTATATATATATATATATATGTATGTATGTATAACTGGGCTCTGTTCAGGTTACAAACTATCTTCAAGAAATTGCACCTAATCTTTGTGAAAGAGTTGAGTTGTACGGCAAAAGAACTCCGCTGTTTGATGAATACAAGATTGAGGAAGAAATAGACAACATTCTCAGCAAAAGGTGGAAATTATTTAGTTTTTTTCCTAGTACTTTCTTTTAGCTTTACATTCTTTTATGAGGTTATTTTAACTTTTTTGGTGAATCAACATATTTTCCTGTTAAAATGATGTTTCTCTTTAACCCTTTAATTTGTAAAATCTGCAGGGTTCCCCTTGATAACGGAGGTTATCTAGTGATTGAACAGACAGAGGCTTTAGTCTCCATCGATGTAAATGGTGGGCATTGTGTGCTTGGTCAAGGGACTTCACAAGAGATAGCTATTCTCAATGTTAACCTTGCAGCTGCCAGACAAGTATGTAGACCTGTATTTTGTTATGATTACGTATTATATTCCTAGAGCATTGATTTTCTGCACCTGAGAAAGCTGGTTACCAGATGCATTTGGGTAGTTGGAAAATAAATCGGGAGATGCTTAGAAAACCCTTTTCTGTAAATTAGGAGATGCTTAGTGTTTGATGTAAAGATACTTCGATCTTTCTGTTAGAGCTATATGCTTAGAAGATCCTTTTCTATAAATTCGGGCATGCTATATTGCTTCTCTTTTTATCCTGTGGTACATAAGGCGCCTGATTCAAGTAGTCATTTGTCTCTTATTAGTAACTTATTAGGGTACAGAACAGAAGAAAATTCTGTAAGGGGTCGTTTGGTAAGCGGGATAAGGTGGGATAAGATGGGGTAAAGTGTGGTACTAAATTTATACCATGTTTGGTTGATGGTATAAATTTATCTCGGGATAAAATTATACCGTCAACCAAACACGGTATAAACCTAGTCCCATACTTAATCCTGGATATCCCATCTTATCCCACTTTATACCATCAAACTTGGTATTATTTTATCCCACCTCCTAGGTGAAATAAATTATTCTAGGGATTATAATACCGGGACTATAATACCGGCATAATTTAGTCCACATACCAAACGACCCATAAATGATCTATTATGGAAAACTAACTTTGTTTAATAACGGAAACTACAGAGAGACCATTTGCAATATCATTTTGATTCTTCTATTGGTTTGGGAATATTGAAGGACATAGCATGTCACTTTTATTGCTAAACATCTGGTTTTCATTTTTTTGGATAACCGAGAAATCCCCGAGGACCGGTGTCGCACAGTTTGAAACCGGTGGATAATGGGTCTGCCCTCTACACTTCTCCTATTGAATACCAGGCTTTTGTCTATGACAATATTCTAACTCGTGACATGTGCCTAACCCACACATCACGCTCTGCACTCTTACTGCTTGGCCAAAGCCTTCACGGCAACCTCTGGTTGCTTTTCCACTGGTGCTATCTAAGTCACGTTAATTTGATTCAAATTTTAAGAAACTTGTGAAAAGAAAGGGAAAGGAAAAGGAAGAAACCCATAAACCAATACAAATGAGATGTTATATGCTCGTTTTTGCTTTGACCATAAGCTAGTATTCATCATTCTAATTCAAGAAATTTTGTTGATGTCTCTTTCTCTGGAGAGTCGATATTATTCACTTTGGAACTGATACATCTTTGTTAGAGATATTGCTTCATGTTTGTTTGCTTACTGCATTTGTAGCTTCATTAAGGTGTCTCTGGTTAGATATGAACCTTTTATTCGAGGCTCCAAGCTAGTTACTGAAATGTATTGCAACATAAGGTTACTATGGTTTTCTTTCTATTTGTTATGTTTATTCTTAAGACAGATTCCAATGTTTAATTCATCATATGATAAATGTGGTTATTGAGGATATACTGAAATTATTCTCAGATTGCTAGGGAAATAAGGCTGAGAGATATTGGTGGCATTATTGTGGTGGATTTCATAGATATGTTGGATGATTGTAAGTAAACAGCTCCCTCCCTCTCTCTCTCTCTCTCTCTCTCTCTCTCTCTCTCTCTCTGTGTGTGTGTGTGTGTGTGTGTGGGTGTGTTCTTTAAGTGGTATTGATGCACAAAATTTTTGTGGTTCTGTTAGGCTAGACTTATTTTCCTCGGGTGCAATAATATCGTAATTGCAACTGAAAAAAAGAAAGAAAAGAGGGAGACGTGAAAAGTTATAATATTGTCTTCTATGTAAAATCCGAAATTGAAGATATCTTTGTTGAATGCTTGGTAACTGTACGACATTACTTGTATTACATGACACCTATAGTTCACCAGCTAAAACTGGCACATAATCAGACTGAAAGTTGCATGATCAGCCCCAGCCTACATTGCTTTTCCCAAAACTGTATATGATGCTAAGCTCATACCATATCATTTTTCATGATATCTTGAAGTCAACAACACATTATGAAGATGTTGTCCTCTTTATTTGCTTTATTTGGTACTGATGTGCTCACAAAGCATGTATACATGCATAACCATATGTTACGCAATTGTTTGAAAGTCTTGTTTCCTTTTATTTCCTCTTCAGCAAATAAGAGATTGGTCTACGAGGAGGTCAAGAAGACTGTTGAGAGAGATCGATCAACAGTTAAGGTGTCTGAATTGTCCAGACATGGGCTTATGGAGATTACAAGGAAAAGAGTATGTTATTTGGCTCTAAAGTTCTTTGTAATTTTATCAAAGAAGCGAACTATTGAATTTGATAAGCGAACTATTGAAAGTCATAATTACACTAGCTCAATTGTCTATCTTAATGATGGTTGGGTGACTATATCTTCTACTTGACAGGTTCGACCTAGTGTGACATTCATGATCAGTGAACCATGTGCATGCTGTCATGGGACGGGGAGAGTGGAAGCTTTAGAGACTGCATACTCTAAGATTGAACGTGAAATTTGCCGGCTGCTAGTAAGTAAACTAAAAACTTAGAAATACCTTTTCAAGGTTATGTTCTTGGGTTTTCCTCTCGTTATTATCTTGTAAGTTGCAAAAGCTCGATCCAAAATCATGTAGTTCTTTAACCAGTTTATCCATTTTTACCACTTGTCTCCATTGTTCCTTCTTTTTCTTTGATAATTTTCTTTTTGCATATAATTAGCATGATTCAACATAATAACCGGATTTGCCAAAAACTAATTCTTGTTTTCTATGTTTCTTGTGTTGATCAGTCCACAATGGATCAGAAGGCAGACCCTGAAAACCCCAAGTCTTGGCCCAGATTTATTCTCAGGGTTGATCAGTACATGTCTAACTTTTTGACTTCAGGAAAGAGGACAAGGCTAGCAATCTTGAGTAGTTCTCTCAAAGTCTGGCTTCTTCTAAAGGTATGCTCAAACATTTTGTTCATTTTCATAACAAAATAGCACTTTTATTCTGTATTTGGCTTTGCTGATATCTGCAAGGTGTGATTGACCAGGTTGCTAGAGGTTTTACAAAGGGGACCTTTGAGCTAAAACCTTTGACAGGTGACAAGGAGTATAAGAATGGACATGAAACTGCTATTTCAGTGTTACGACCCACAGAGGGTGGATTTCACCCCCCTCGGAAAAAACTAACCATTTTTCCCATCAAAAAGTGGAAGAGTAGCGGAAAGTGATCTTGCTTCCTTTAAGAATCATCTGTACAGGTCTCAATTCACAAAGAACATCCCGGTATGGCAGCATAATTTTATTTAACCAATTCTTTCCTCCTCAGTTCAGCTGTTTCCCTCTGAGTTTTTCTCCTTGGCGTTGAGTAGGTTGGTGTAAAAAATAGCTAGTTTTATGAAAACAATTTTGCATAGCATGGTAATACATCTATTCCATTTATTATCTGGCCTCGCCTTTTGCAACCCACCATGTAGACTCATATATCTAATAATCATGTGCTTTCACCTATGTCATCATGATGCTGAAAATCATATCGTTCTCTTTAAGTCTTTCCCTTAAATCAGACTCTTCATTTGTCTTTTAAGTATACACATTCTCCTTGGATTTTTCCAGCCAATCACAACCAACTAGTGATTCAAGGGGTCAATTCATTTTTTGTTTGATTGGCAAAACTTTTCATAGAAGTGATTGAAACAAAGAGAAGAAGATGTGTCCTTCACGACTGGAGGGAGGCACAAACAGTTAAGAAACTTAATTACAGAGAAGGGTAAAGTGGACTTCACAGGATCAAGGAAAGACCTGCAGAAAAGAGAGTAAAAATGAACGCTCAAAGTTGGTGTTGCTTATTTTGCTGGAAATTTGGACCTTGCTTCCTACTCTGTAATTGATTAAGCACCACGGAAACTACAATATGTGCAAGACCAACTGATCGCTCCTTGCCTGCAGATTTTGTCTAAAAATGATAATATGAGTGAATGAATGTCTAAAAATGATAACATAGTAGTTAGGTTTATCCACTCATTTATCACAATAATTGCAACTCTAGTTCAAGAAATGCATTATTTATGAGTCTAGAGTCAGCACAACATAGGCAAAAATCAAGATGTTACAACTGCGTGGTTTTCCTCACAAATTTGTCTAGTTATTTGGTGTACCCTTAAGCTAATCCGGGATCCACAGGCCTTGAACATGATTTACTCAGACAGGAATCTAAGATCCAGATTTCCGAGGTCAGAGAAACTACTGGTCAGTGATCGATCAACAATTAGATATGAACTAAATAAGTTTTACCAAGGAGTATTTTTTCAGTGAGATTCACTTCATCCTCTATCTACAAGAATGTAAATAGAGGATAGGATAACTAAATTTGGGAGGGAAAAATGAAAAACGAATCCTCTTGATTCATGTTCCAAGACATTCCCCTCCACTCTCAAGCCTTAACCTGTAACTATGTCCACATTACAGTATTGGGGTAGAAAGACACAATTCTTTGGTGGCTGGTTTGGTAAACCAAAAAGTTGAAGATTTTACCTCGAAGAACTCCAAGTCTATCAGGGAAGGATGTGTAATTCTAATCTTTTAGACTATTTCTTTACATAATATCATTAATTAGAGACAACTATTTAGATCAGGAAGTGAAAATTCCTGCCTATAAACTTATCTGAAAACTATCAGCACAAACAAACCGCTATCTTAACCACACTCTCCAATGTTCAATTAGTAGATGGCACAGAACCTCAAGCAGATCCCTGTAAAAATCACTAAATAGCCCTATGGTATTGTCACTAGCAGCATGTACGAGATCTCCAAAACTCAGTTTTTCTCAAGTATCTCCAACACTCAACTGCAGACTAGGAAAACGAGTAAAGGTACCAACTTCACCGTTATACTTTGAACACTTGAGCGCGAGTTAGCCTACAAGCCTGCGGACATTTTCCGAAGTGTAGGGACGCGTAATGTCAACCAGCAAAGGTTGAAAATACCTTGCACTCTACACTTTAACCGAAAATGAAGCAACAACAATCCATCATTTGAAAGTAAACATGAAATAAGCAAATCCAATGTCGCCCATAGATAGGCAAATATTCTGAAATCACGAAGAAATGCCTGAATTTGACATCTCAGATATGTAATAAAGTTGATAGTACAAACAAATGGTTATCGTAAATATTTCACAAGTGTACAATCTAGGGGAAAACTAAAATAATAGGATACAACAGAAGTGATTAACAACAACACCGACAGGATAAAACATCTGAGCATGTATAGGGTCTCAGCTTCTCTTCAAGTTCTTGTGCTGTTGGAAGCGGTTCCATCCTATATTTGCTACTTTGGGCAAAACAAAACTCATACAAATTTCTGCATGCTCCTTTACTAAATGGATAGACTCTTTCGGGAATGTTCCTGCAAATCAATGCAAGTTTAAACTAAGGCTTAAAGACAATAAATTGCCGATGAGAATACATGCCTCCATTTGCTTTGTTATATCAATTAAATCACTCAAAGATGTTGACCATATCTGCAACTAACATCATCCAATGTTTTCAATTGTATCATTCAGAGTACTGGCCCAAAGGAAAAACATAGATATACCTACCTCTACCCAGTAAATAAAATCATACAAGAAATTTGAAGTAAATAACCAACCTCAGATATTGGATGCGCTGTCGTCTCACAAGCTCATAAGTGGTCTGATTTGTTAAAATTAGGTAGCTGATTCAAGAAACATAAGGTCAGTCACTTTGGCTAAAGGAGAAAAACAAATATCTAGGGGAATAATATAGGCAAAAATATGTTGGCTGACCAAACTTAACATGTCAATTAAGTGGACTTGAAAATGTGGCAGATTTCATTTTTAATTTACCAAATGGCTGCTGAAGCTTATGTCCTATTGGACATGACCAGATAGACTTCAGATGATCTTCATATCTCCCATCTTATCAGGCTAGCAACCTAATCTGGCTTAACCAAGCCACAATTTTACTCGCAAATTCTAGAGTTTGAGTAGCTTAGTGTTAATATGTTTCTACCTCCCTCACAACACTAAAAGGAGGTAACCAGGCATCCTATTCTATCTTTTCGTTACACGAGATATCAGAAATCATTACATCCTTTCCTAGAATTATCAATCCTGCCGGCCAAACAGAGGGTTCTCCAGAATGCCATGTAACCTTTTTTTTTTTTTAAAAAAAAAAACGGGGACTCACACATAATTTTAAGAACTTAAACATTAAAATTAACAAACTTCCAAAAGATACGCAATTATATGTCAGGCAATGCTAAACAAAGAGTCCATCTTCCAGTAAAGAGAAATCTTACCTGTGAAAAAGTAAGAGGAGGAGAAGAAAGATGAGGCAGAAAAACAGAGTAACTAGCAGCAAGATCATAATTGCATATAACCACCTGCAATGAAGCCATTACAGCATTTGACTTCAGACTCAATTACAGATGAAAACTGGATAAGATTCACGACAAGGCTAGTCTTTTTATGGTGGAATGTGTGTGCATTCACCAAACACGTGAACAGAGGCAAAAACAATAAACGTGTCTGCACCATCTTGTCACATCAGCTTTAGCTAGGGGCGGCAAACGAGCGGGTCGGGTCGGATATGGGCGGGTTAAAACGGGTAATTACAAAAACGGAAAAAATATCCGATCCGACCATATTTAATACAGATAGAAAACGGGTTAACCGACGGATAATATGGTTATCCATATTATCTATGGCTTCTTGAATATGATCACTTTTGGGAGAATTCCTAGTCTCCCAAACTTTAGGAACCCCCAATTTGAGTCTTTGCAAATGTAAAAGTTAAACCCATTGGTTATCCATTTTTAAGTGGATAATATGGATCTTATCCATATTTGACCCATTTTTAAAAAAGTTCATTATCCAACCCATTTTTTAGTGGATAACTGTTTTTGTTATCCATTTTGCCGCCACTAGCTTAAGCTTTCATGAGAATCCAGGCCCTTTCTTTGACAACTGATTCCCATTGTTCTTTTGTGTCTTGAAAATTGGTTTTTGCAACCTCATACAACCAAAATAGTGCCATCTTCAAGCTTCTTACTTCTCAGAAGACTATATTTCAGACAAGTAAAATATTCCAATTTGCGCATGTTTACATTTCACCAACTGAAGCTTTTGAATTCAGAAGAATATACACCAATTGACAGTTTTTAGCTGAAGGTAAAGCAAATGAATTTTATGAGTTGACATGCTTTTCTTATAAATTTGGGTAGCAAAACTAACAAGTTCACAGGGTTCCCCTAGTTCTTTTTTTTTTTTTAAGGATTGGGACAATGGTGCATATTATCCTTCTCCAGTTCTCCTGATGCTACCCTAGAACCTCCATCTTTATTTACTTCTGGGAAGGAAGATACTACTAAAGGAGCAGAGGAGAAACATGTTTAACGGCAAGAACCAGAGGCTGAGCAGAAAAGCTCTTAAAAGATAAAGCATCACCAAAAGTACATACCAAGGCTTTGATATGTCAGACTTGAAGAGTTGAATATATAACGTGCCAGTCCAAAGGGATAAGGCTGTTTCTCCGCAAATGTACCACCTGTTATATTCAGGCAAGTAAATAAACTATAGCCAAGACGATTTGCTTAAAACTCTAAAATTAAAGAAAAAACATGCAGTGCACATGTGTTCTCGCATGTAAAATAAGCAGCTATTACCAGTTGAAAGTTCAGGAAAATCAAGCATCCTCACATGCTCCGTGTATGTTTATAGATGAAGAAAAATACATATAATTACGAGAAAGTATAATATTACAAGTCCCCAACTAAATAGTGTCTCTCATTGTGGTCTTAACAGTTAAGAGTAGAACCATAATCATGTCACTTACACAGAACATATCATAAAGAATTAGACACATCAAAGTACATATATCTTCCAAGTCCACAAAACCAGTTCAGCATATTCTTGCAACAATTAAAATGAATCAACATCCTCTTATAGGTGTCTTTAACTGATGAACTCTTCTGATAAGGGATATGTTCCCACGATTCAAGCTAAATTTTTTTTTTGATTCAAACTAAAATTGCAGCCTCTCCATGAAAGCAAGAAACCTTGAATGAGACTTTAAATTCATTAAATTAGAAAGATAACTATATTAGTAACACTTTCTGGAAACGATATCAACGTTGACATAAATAACTATATTAGTATCATTTCTGGAAATGACATCAACATCGACATAAATATTCAATTTGACATGTCCTCATCATGTTATATCCAAATGTTTTCCAAAACAAACTTTCATTTTTGCTGCAAAATAACATATGGAACCATCACAGAAACAAATCTGTACTTTCAATTTAAACAGTACAAGTTTATGATCTTTTAAAGCTTTTTCGCAGGTACAACCGTACAAGCAAACAATTTCAATTTAATTGCAAAATTAGTTAGTTTATTGAACTGCGAGCAGGATATAAACACTGTTGTGTATCAACCTAGTAGCATGGATGCTCACCAAAAACGGCAATGATTACCATGTCCT